GGCTAAGCCACAGGAATTATCTCTTGGAGTCTCCTCACAAATTCAGCGTTGCTGACCTCCAGCAGGTGAGCATGTTTTGCTCCCCACCCCTAAATCCTGAAGAAGTCTCAGAGATACAGTGGTTAACCCGGGCCAGGCAGCAATCTTCAACAGTCCACCCTTCAGAATGGCCTCCCTTTTGCTCTCTACCTCCTGAGCAGTCACTGACCCCTACCTCCCGGGGCTCCAGCAGCCCAACAGTGAGTGGAGGCCTTTCCTTCAAGGATGACAGAGTAGATTGGGATCTCATCTGTAGTCTCCATACCCCAGAGACATCAGGTGCAGGCTGATGCCCGCATCAAACCACCTGATGCAGGGACTTCTTGCCCACGTGGAACCAGGGAAGTTCTGAGGCAGTGCCATGGCGATGCAGTGGTGCTACCTAAGACTGGTCTCCACTTGCTCCTGCAGATTGCAGAGGGGGTGTATGAAGGATTCCTCAAAGCCCTGATTGAGTTCGCCTCCCAGCATGTCTACCACTGTGACCTGTGCACCCAGCGAGGCTTCATCTGCCAGATCTGCCACCACCATGACATCATCTTTCCCTTTGAGTTTGACACCACAGTCAGGTATGAGGAATACATGGCCAGCTACTCCCACAACCACAGCCTTAACCTGTGGTAACCCTCATCTTCTTATGCAGGGGCACGCTGGACATCCTCGTGCCCAGGATACTATGACTGCCCAGGGATGCCTGGCTCACAGTCTCCCCCCCCCCCCTTACCTTAGAGAAGAGCTGCTGCTGTCTCAGGAAGTGGGCTGTCTTAGAGCTCAGTCTACAATGGGTTGAGGGATTGGTGGTGTTTTCCTGGCCCTCAAGCACTAGCATGAGGCTTAGCCCAGTGGGCACCTGGTAGCTGGTACTTACTATGGCCCCAGCTGCAGTAAGTGGTAATTCTTGCCATCCATTGCTGTACATCAATAGAAGCCCCTAAACAGGTATATTCCCATCTTCCTTTACCCCAGGTTGGAATGGAAAACTGAGCTACAAGGATCATCCACTTTTCTTCAGTGGATAAACCAACTAGAGTCAGCCCTGAATGGGCCTGGGCTGTTTGAACTGCTTTAAAGATAGGCGAGAAGTCATAGAAACACGCAGGCAGCATTGATCACAGAGAACGAAATGGGACACGCATTATCAGCGGGCATGGGGGTCACTTGGGTTCAGTGTCTGAAGTGCTTTCCACGAGAATTGGCGGGCAGCGCATGTGCATGTGGGCTGCAGACAGAACGCAGCCTCTGTGGGTTCTGTCCAAGGCCCTGTCCAGCCTGGCCCAGGCACATCTAGATGACTGGCACCTGACGCTCTCTTCTCAGGTGTGCCGAATGCAGAACTGTCTTCCATCAGAGCTGCCAGGCTGTGGTGAGGAAGGGCTGTCCCCGCTGTGCCCGCCGGCGCAAGTACCAGGAACAGAACAGTGTCAGCTAACCCTGCTATCCTGCCCTTCCGAGGCCATCCAACTGGGTTTGTCGTCAGCCTAGGCTTCTCTGTCTCCCTGTAAGGAAGACTCTCAGGTGTGCCCAGAGCTCTTGCCTCCAGAGAAGGTCCAGGAGTCTCAGTGATGCCCCATGGCCCCTTCTAACCCTTCTGCTCCAGGAGGTGGGGACCACCAGGTGCCTCTGCACAGGGCCTGTCATTGGCAGGCCTGGCTTGTTTAGTTGTCATGGCACCTCCATTAGGGCTGTTCATACACTGTGGAAAAGAGGCTTGGTGAGCACTTTCAACTCACATTCCTGATTAAAAGGTCTAGTTTTTTAAGGTGAGTTTCCCCCCTTCATATTTAAACAGAAAATATTTTTTTATTCTTGACCCTACCCAAGTCACTAAGAAATGCGACCCTTCATCCAAGCAGATGGGCAAGAGCAGCCCCAGCCCAGAGATAGGCATGGGACTGAGTGGACAGGCCTTTCCTTTGTCCTCTCTGGCACATACTGCCAAGAGTGTGTTATGTGCCAAATAGCCCATCACTGCAGGACTGGTCAGTTTCAGCCCCATCTTCCCCTCCCATCTCTGTGCTCTCACCTGGAAAATGTCCCCTTCCTCTGTCAGAGTCCCTGGCTCCTTTCTGGCTTGGGACAGGGGGATGACCAGCACCAGCACTGTCAGCACTTTGAGCCTTCCTTGTTCAGAAAGTCCCTGGTCTTGCCAACCTCATCCCCATGCCCTCCTTAGTCCTACATAGATGGTAGAGCTAGCCCTGCCAGGGTAGAGCAGGCTAGACACCAGAGAGGCTCCAAGCTCCAAACTGGAGAAGAGGCACCATCCTTTGGCTACAGAGAGGTAGAGGGATGTGCCTAGAAGCTGCCCTGTAGAAGCTTCATCAGCCCTAGTCTCCCAAAGCCCTGCGTTCATAAACCTTCAGTTTTTACCTTGCCCAGCAGGACACTGCAGTTCCCAGTTGAGCTCCCTAGAAGCAGGGTTACCCTTAAGAGGCTCTTGGGCTGGTGTAGCATCCCAGAATTGTTAGCAAGGTCATGTTCATAGCCTTGAGGCATTTAGGAGAGTAGCTATGTACTATGCTATCCTCACCTCTCCTGGACCCCACAGCCCTTCTGGCCATCCCAGAATATTCAACTTAGAGCCAGTGGCCTCAGGTGGAATGGAGGGCCTCCCTGGAAATGTGCCTCTCATGTCTAGAGAAGAGGTTTCCCCTCCCTCCCTGAGCTGAGTAAGCTGACTCACCTCCTGAAGCTTACAGAATTGTGCAATAGACCAGAGGAGGCAGGTGGCAAGTGGCAGACGCTGCCTGCCACAGTTCGTCTGTCCCCATCATGGAAGGCGTGCTCTCCAGTGGTTGGGAAACCAAAGCTTTCAGAACCACGCAATGTATCCATATCTTCACCCCACAGCCAGCATTAACACTTCTCCCAAACCACAGCCTGATCAGAGTCTCCTTGCTTTGGATCTTGAATGGGTAGGAGTCAGTCCCTTGTGGGCTGAGAGTATTCCAGAACCCGCCTGCCTGAGGCAGCCAGAGCCCTTCCACTGCCTGGATTGTACCCTTTGCTGAGCTGCTGATGTGCTCAAATGAGTCACTTTACCTGCCACCAGAAGAGCTCACGTGAACCTCAGCAGTGCCCACACTAGTTCAAAGATTTTTTTTTTATGCAATATTCTGACAAGTGGGCCTTGACAATATGGAGAAGGAACTGCTTCTGTGGTATTTGACTGATTTTGCAGTAAAGAACTGGTCTTTCTAATCAAAGTGTGGCTTCTGAATCTCAATCCTTTGACTGCTGGGGAAAACACCAGCCATCCCACCCACTCCCCTTCATCCTATTGGGGATTTTAGGGCCCATGGAGCACACTTGCCAGCCAACGCGGCAGGGGAGAAGAGGTAAGTGACAGAATTTAGGTTGCCCTAGGTGGAGGTGATAGCCTTTCAGATTTACACCACTGGACTGTAATAGCTGAAGCTCACTTTTCCACCTTAAATGCCTGAACACACACACACACACACACACACACACACACACACACACACACACACACACACACACACCACACACACACACACACACACACACCCTTGTAAAAGCTTAGGAATCTGGGTGTGGAGAGGGGCTCAGAGAGGGCAATCGAGAAGGGCAAGCCCTGGCTTCTGGACTCATGGATTAAAGGCTCAAGAACCTGTGTGCTGCTGGCCTTCCCCTGAGGTTCCAGGAGAAGCCCCCCACTGCCCATGCAAGAACAAAAGAAGGAAACAGACTAATTCCTAGGGAAACCAGGTTGCAGAAAAATGGGACAGAAAAAGACAACATCTAGGGCTACGTTTCCTGACCTGGAGGACCTTCAGCCAGTGAGTGGGGTGCTCCTTGGTCATCTATGAGCCAGATTCTCCAGGGGCCTAAAGAAAGAGAAGAGGAACTGGGTTTGGAGCTTGGGGGGGTGTGGGGGGGGGGGGGGGGGGGGGGGGGGAGTAGGAGAGGAGCCTGACTCTTGAGCTGATGCTGTCCATCCTTGGCTCAGGCTCTCAGGCTTTCCACCTTCAGCACAGTGCCTCTGAGGACAGCTTCTGCTTTCGCCCCGGTCTAGAGGGGGATGGGAAAACTGGCGTTCTCATCCCCAGAAAGCACCTCCTATAATAAAAGCAACAACGAATAATAAAGTGTGTGTGCATACCATCATTGTGTTTGGTGGATGTCATTTAACTTTCCCAGCAAGCCTATGGGGTAATGAGGGGAATTGAGACCCAATAACTAAAGGCCCGCTTGTGGCAGAGTTGGGCATCAGACTGCTGTATCCCAGACAAGGGTGGAGGGACAGAGTTCATTCAGTCTCTTTTTGTGCCGTGTGCCTTCTCTGATGTATCTTAAGATACCCAGCACAGTGGACTCATTGGTGGGCAAGACTAACAAAGCCAAAGATACAGAATGGGAATTCAAGAAAATATGGGAGTGGGTGTGTCCAGCCGAACCCTCAGCCCTGGAGGGACATAGGCCTGGTGTCCAGGTTCCCTTGTCTGCTCAGGAGCCTTAAGCAGCTCCTGGGTGGAGCACCTAGTTGGACCCCACGCTTTTCTTGGAAGCCAGAGAGAGTAAGTACTCTGGTGCTGGGGCTTGCCCTTGTCAGAAATCACAGGCACAGCCCAGAGTGGTAAGGCTGCTTTCCCAAGAAGCAGGTAATTCCCAAGATGCCAGGATCCTGGAACTATACCCAGGCTGCCCGCCGAGTACTGGATGGTGACACTGTTCCCCCTACGACGATGAGGGTCAGTGGGAGTGGAATCTGGTCAGAAGTTGAGAGAAACTGCCTCCCCCGCAGATCTCCATCCAGGCCCGGCCGCCTCCTCCCCGGATCAGGTGTGGCCCAGGATCGCAGGGAAGGAGGGGGAAGGGTGGCGTCTTTGCTCCTAGAGCTCTGGCTCGGCCCAGAGGGGACAGGAAGCCAGGACACCGGGGATTGTCTCTTGCAAGCACAGCCCAGCCCCAGCCTGGGAGGAAGTTCTGCTGAGCGCTCTCCGCCGGTTATATTGTTGAACAGGAAACTGGGCACTGCGGGAGCAGGGCCGTGGAGCAGGCAGCACCGGACGCGGACCCCACGCGCGCGTCTGCCGGGACAAGTGGAAGCTAGGCCAGCCAGCGGGCGAAAGTTCTGAGGTGCCCGGGCCGGGCTGGACTGAGGGAGGGGTGGTAGTGGGGAGGACGATGCTGGGTCGTGGGAGGGCGAGAAAGGTGCCCCAGGTAACCCTCCCCACCCTGGAGCCCCGCGCACTGCCTGCCCTTCTTGCTGCACTGGGACTAGAGCCGAGCGAGCCTGGAGGAGGGCCCAGAGGCCAGATCCCCTGGGAGGAGCGTTAGGCGTGGGGCGAGAGGGGAACCAGCCGGAGTCCCCCAGTGCTGATTTAGGCATTGGTGACGCTATGGCGAGGGGTGACAGGGCAAAAGATGCAGGAAACCTACTGGCTAAGGGTGCGTTCTTGCTTCCAGGGATCCTTCCCGCTCTCGAATCCCTCCCCTTCTCTTCGCTCTCCCGGATAAAGAAAGGGTCTGAGGCACAGGTCCCCTTGCTACACAACCCGAGACACTGAGCTCCTGTGAGCCTCTCTGCAAGGGAGCTCTGATTTTTCCAGGCCGGGATGGGCTGTGCCTCAGCTGAGAGGGCGGAGGTGCGCCAGGAATGGGTAGTGCTCTGAGTCTGTCTGCAAAGGGCTCGCAGTTCGTGATTCAGGGTGCAAATGGCCTCGCTCAGAATGTGCGTGCCGGGACGAGACAACCATCTCCAGGCATTCTCAAGAGCATCGCGCCCGCGAAACGCAGGGTCAAAGGCAGCAAACTCCTCCGGGGATGGAGGGGAGAAGCAGGACCTATTGACTCTTGAGCTCCGCTCGCGATCAGTCAGCACCCTTTCCACGGCAGCTCCTCCCTCGTGCCTTTTTTTTTTTTTTTTTTTTTTTTTTGAGATCCAGTCTCTCACATCTCCCGGCACAGGGATGATGGCTGGCTCCTTCTCACCCTCCCAGACAAGCTGGATTGGGGATTGGGGACAGCCCTACTGAGCATGGGTCTCCTCTCTTCAGCTCTGTTCTGCGCCGTTCCTTCAATCTGTCCTTGGAAGTCCCGCCCACAGAGATGCTAGAGACCTCATCGGCCACCCTCCGCCAGCCCCGCCCATCCAGCCCATGGGCACCCTGAGACCCTCCCAGGTAACGTGAGTGCGTGGGGTCCTGGGGAAGGGGGCGTAACCCGAGTGTCCACACTCTCAGGATTTGCTCGCCCAGCCCTGGTCTAATGTGATACCTCCTCCCGGGCTCAGGGTGCTCAGTGACTCAGTTCACACCTTTTCCCCCATCAAAGAATTCTTGAAAACAAGAAGTCACCCTCAGCAAGAGGGTGGACTCCCCGCTGCTGGTCCCCAGGCCACCTTGTAGGACAGTAAACAGAGTGGTCAGTACTTCCGCAGTAGGCTTCACTTTGTTAAAGGCACACAGAATCCTCCCTCTACCCCCTACATCAGGCACCAGACTGAGCAAGCATTGGGCGGGGGTGGGGTGGCTTTATAATAGTCACTCCAAAGAACTTTAGGGGACCCTGGTGATGCTATCGCAATGCATTCTTTAGGAGCTACTCTCCCGGACAGGCAGGCAGCGTAGGGAACCCTATTCAGGTGCGCACACCAGGAAGCCTCCCCGGTTGGAGGCCGCCTTGGGAGCTGGAGCAGGGGGCGGTGCCGGCCGCGCTGGGCGGGCGGGACTCCTGGTTCACGTGTGCCGCGACGCCACTGGGAAAGGAAAGAGAAACCCAGAGAACCGGTTCTCCAGCCTTAGCTGTCCAAGCCCCTTCGTCAAAGTCCCTGGGCTAAGCAGGGCAGGGACACCCCAAAGGAAGAACAACTTGGGGGCTGCCCCAGGGCCTGTGCCCCAACGCGAACCTCGCCCGCCCGGAGCGCAGGCTCCTAAAGGGAGGGGGCAGGCACTTAGGGGCTCTCCACCGGCTCCCTGCAGGCTGGAGGCGTCAGGGTGGGCGGGACGGGGACGGGGGCGGGGGAGCGGCGGGGAAAGGACCTTAATTCACAATTCGCCGACCCGGAAAACGAGGCTCAGCCCGCCGTCAGGCAAATGTGCTATCTACCTTGCAGTCCCCGCAGGTCTATGAGCCAAGGTTTCCCGGAGGGAGAGTAAAGTTGAGTTCCTATCGTCCTCAGTTTCCTCGCCGTGGGATCGCAGCGGGACGACACACATCTCACAATCCACGTCCCAGAATGGAGCCTTAAGAATGAGAGCTTTGGAGATGATTTTATCCAAGTCCCCAATTCAGAGATGGAAAAACTGAAGCCCGGATGCCCTGGGCAAGGGCAGGAGAGGGACTGGAACCCTTGTCTTTGAGCCCCAGGCGCGGTGCTCTTCCCGGCTGCACGGTCGGCCCTGACTTCGGCGGCTCCTCTTCTGGTTACCCGCAGGGAGGCGCGGTGGCCGCGATGGCGGCGGACGTCGAAGGGGACGTGTACGTGCTGGTGGAGCACCCCTTTGAGTACACCGGCAAAGACGGGCGCCGCATCGCCATCCAGCCCAACGAGCGCTACCGACTGCTGCGCCGCAGCACGGAGCACTGGTGGCACGTGCGCCGCGAGCCCGGGGGTCGCCCTTTCTACCTCCCCGCGCAGTACG